TAGGAATGCTTGCCTAGAATGTTTGCAGCCTTAGGTTCAATCCCCATTGTTGTCCCACAGTAAGACAGGGAGGTGGCAGATAGGTCTGGTGAAGTGGGTAGATGAAGTTAATTGGAATTTTGATTAATCATCACTGTATTACTGAGTTTGCAGACATTTGGTAGTCAGTGAGTCTTACTCTGATAGATTTAATTTTTGTTCTTTTTCTCTTTAATGTTTTTCTCTTTCCCCAGCCTGATCACAGTTTCCCATCCCTCCTCTCCTCTCAGTCGCTCCTCACATGATCCCCTCTTCCCCCACCATCCACTCTTTCTCCATTCTCTTCAGAAATGTTAGTCTGCAAATTTAATACCTTCTTGAAGTGAAAACTCCAGGAAAGAAAGTAAAACTCCCATATTCCATGATTAATATTTATAGTTTCTGTGGTATCCTGGTGGCTCTTACCAGGTTTGGAGCATTGACTTTTAATGGAAGCATTTTACAAGCTGACTCTGAAACTATTAAGTTAGCCATGGTGAGAATATTCCCAATGGAAATTAGCTAAGGAGAGAGTCAGGGCTTGAGTTATTCATGTTAGCTCCTCTCACCATTATACCACGAGAATTGATAACACGTACATCGGTTCACTTGTTTAGAAAGAATGACAAGGTGGGTAGGAAGAGCTGCTTACTTCTCCTGGAGAACCCTCAAGCGATCCTATGGTGCAACTCCACCGCCATCTTAGGAAAGTCATTTGCCTACCACTATGAAAAACCCTAACCATGACGTGTCAGGATTGGTTTCTCATGAGTCAAAGGCTAGAAGGAACTCAGAGTACAGCTAGGTAGTCAGACACTCTCTCCTTCTTGAGGAGGGCACTGGAGCAATGGGAGGCAGTCAGTCTAATCTCCCTGAAGAGAAGTGAGGATAAAGTTTAGTGGTAGAGTGTTTTCTAGTGTGAACAAGGCACTGGGGTTCAATACCCAGTACCAGAAAATTTATTATGTTTTTCTGAATATGGGTGTTTTTGCTACATGTCTGTGCATCACTTGCATGCCTGGTACACTCAGAGGCCAGAAGAGGCCATCTAGAACTGGAGTCATAGATGATTGTGAGTTGCTACATGGCTGCTGAGAATCAAACCCAGGTCCTCTACAAGAGCAGCACATGCTCTTAACCACTCAACCATCTCTCCAGCCTCTAAGTACCAAATACTTTTTAAAAATGAAAATAGGAAATTCTCCCTTGAGCCCATACCCACACTTGGGTATATCTTATTTTCTGTAACTCTTTGAGATGTCCATACCCATGATCTGGGGTATACAGTTTGCTTTCCTCTGAGTGTCTCTTTTTCTCTCTTAGCTCTTCTGCTTAAGCATTCTTTAGTAAAATGCAACTCTAAAGGTCCTTACAAAGTCAGCCAAAATTAAGAGTATGAGTTACCTTTGCAATGTGACACTGTAGATGTAATTCTAAACAGTCTTATTAAATAAGAATCACAGAGCCAAATAAAAAGTTAAAAGCTCAAGAGGTCAGAGCACTAGCAAATAGCCTTAAGCTTACCAGCTGCTGCTGTCCTTCCCGTGAGAAAAGAGAGCTACTTCCTGTGTGTCTGTATTTTTTATTGACTTTCTGTTCTGCCTTCTCATTGGTTCTAAAACCAACTACATGACTTCTTCTTCACTGCCTGTCTATACAGACCTCCAGGTCTCTATGGTTGGTAGTTGGATTGAAGGCATATGTCACCAAACAGGCTATGTCCTTGAATACACAGCCTCTGCCTACCATGTGATCAGATTAAGGGTGTGTGCTACCACTGCCAGACTTCTGCTAAATGGCTTGCTCTTAGCTCTGACCCCCAGGCAACTTTATTATTTAACATACAAATAAAATAATGTTTCAGCCCAAATAAAATATCACCATATTACACAATAGAAAATTTCATTGCTCTTTACTATCTATAACAACTTTTAGGTAAAATATGAAAATGTAAGTGTGCTTTAAACATTTTTCATATATTTCAGAACATAATATGCCAGAAAACGTTAAGAAAATGAAGGATTACTTAGAGCCACTGCTTAACACTTCAGTGTATAATCCTTTAGGTCTCAACATAAGTATAAGGGTGAGTTGACAGCATTTTCATTTTTACCATGTAGAGTTTAGAGTTAAACATGTATGCTAAAGGAAGACTTGGCGTTTAGATGTTGGTGATTGGTGGGAAGAACAGCTTTAGATATATAAAAAGGGTTTCTTTTTTCTTCATTCCCTGGCTGTCCCATTTCTAAAGGAATCTGAATGCTGAACAGAACATTAATTGACTGTTTTCTAAGAGATAGGTCAGATCAATTGGCTAAAGGGAAGCAGAAAAGTTGTGTCCAAAAGTTGGGGTCACAGGGATATCTAAAGCACAGGTAAGTGTGAAAAACAGTGAAAATGCAGAGATATGTTAAAACCACATATATGAAGGCTAACTCAAAGTGTTCATGAAAGCCAAATTGTTTTACGTTTTAGTATCAATCTGAAAATAAAACTACATCATTGAGTTCCTGTTTTAATACCTCTTCATTTTACACATGATGTTCATGTCAGAATCCTTGGCAGTCCTTATAAATGACATCTATGAATGTGGCTCCCATCGATATTTTTGTTTAAGGAACACACACATTGATAATGACCATCTGTGTTTGTTCCACAGGGCTCTGAGCTGTTTCATTTCAAGGTGTCTGTGGTTCCTGGGGTCAGCTTTTGTAACTTAGAAGAAGAATTTCAGGTACAGTAAATTCATAAAGTATGGAATGAGATAATGACTGAGAAAGTGGCACAGCACTTGTCAATCCAAGTTATGGATCAGGATGAAAACATGGGTAGAATTTGTGTGCCAAGTCCGGCTTGGCCAGACTGTGGCCAAGAATGAGAGTGTGGGTGGTAGAGGATGCTGAATGTCCACAGAATTCTGGGTAGAATTCTTCTGTGTGGTTTATTGTGGTATCACAATGACCAGTATTTTACATTACCGCATCCAGAAAATGTAACCACTTTGCTTTTTCTTTTCAGATTTATGTCGATGAAGTACCATTGCCTTTTCCAGGACATATGCTAATTGCTGTTGCAACATCTGTAGTTCTAGGGGGATTAATTTTTGTAGCATTTATATTGCAACTCCGTAACATCCACCCATTGAGAGCATTCCAGAGATACCTTAAAAGAGATACTGCAAACCCATCAACTATAAGTATCAGCTCAGAAGGGAAAGTCTGGATAGTGAACAAATGATAATTATATCTATTTCCTAGTTCTATTAAACATGTCCATACAATATATTTATATTTTATAAATGCACATTAGGCACAATGCTATTGAGTTATTATACTATTATAATTCTAGTTGCTGTTAGTCAGTAGTTCCAATTTCCATTTTCTTATTTTTAATACATAGAAAATTACTTTAGCACTTACATGGTTTTCTTTTTTTTAGATTGTTTTGGAAAATATAAAATGATAACCAATTCTCTGTGCAATGGGTTTTCTTCATTATTCAGCTCATATGGTCTAGAGTTCATTTTGTAGGGCCAGGTTCTAGATAGAATAGTGGTACAATGAGGGTACCATTACACCGTGGGAGTCAGACATGGAGAGACTAATCAGTGGATGTTTTCAAAGCCTTGTAGGAAATAAAAAAGAACAAGTCATTTCGGTTTTTTAAAGAAGGCCAAATTGTTTGTGGTACCTAATAAGAGGGGACGATAACTCCATCATGGAGTACTCAAAGAATATAGTGGTTGAGCCGGGTGTTGGTTTCAAACATGCAGCATACAGAACTCCAAAGGATATGCTTCTGTGTGCTTCTGGTGAACTTGTCCACCAGAAATCCAGAAAGTGATGGCTACACCCAGGTATCAGGCCTGGCACACATGGCAGAGGTTTGTGAGGGAGGACAGTGCTATGGGTTCATTTGGGCATGGAGGAGGAACAGGGTGAACTACTCAGAAATGGCCAGCCCCTCAGGAACTGTAGAGTTTAAGTTCTGGAGCATTCCCTTGTTTTATAATCACTCACTAAGCAAAATAAGATTACCATGAATGAGAAGAGGTCTCAGAGCCCCAAGAGTCATGGGCACTTAGTAGGAAGAAAAGCTTAAGGAGTCTTGGGGCTGGAGTGATGGCTCAGTGCCTTAGAGCACTTGTTGCTCTTGCGGAGGGTGTGGGTTGAATTTCAGCACCCGTGTGGTAGCTCACAATCATCTGGTTCTTCTCTGTTCTAAGCATACATAACTGCTTGCCTCAGCTATGTTTTCTCATCACTGTGACCGGATACCTGACATAAAGAAACTTCCTGGGGCTCACAGCTCCCTAGAGTAGTCGAGCATGTTAGGGAAAACATGGTAGTGAAATGAGCTCCTCTCCATGTTGGCTGGAGAATAAAGCAGCTGCTCCTATCAACAGATGTGTAACAGAAAGTTAACCACAAGTGTGGTCTATCTATAACCTGATACTGTGTCCACCATCTGTGCCCTGTGTCCAAACATTTCCTCTGCTCCCAAAACAATGCCAGCAGCTGCAGCCCAGGTTATCAACTAGAGGCCTGTGAGTGACCTTCAAAACACAATCCAAATCATCACTAAGTAACTGAATAGCCCCATTTGGTCTGAACTATGCTGTGTTCTTTATCACTTTTGCTAACATGCTCATTTGCATTAGAGAATCACGTAGAACCATCCTGCTACTGGATACATACCATGTTTTGAGATCTTCCCAGAATCCTTCATAGTAAGTTTATTTAATTTTTCCTTACCTGTATGGTGACATAACACCTGGAATCCCAGCACGCAAGAGGCTAAAGCAGGAAGATTTGGTAACAGCCTAGAGTATACAATAAGCCCCTGTCGTAAAACAAACAAAAAAAAGAAAAAAAGAAAAAAGAAAACAGTTTTGTTGTTATTTTTTAAACTTTTCCCTGACCTCGTTTTTTCTTATCTCATTTTATATATTCTGGTACCTGTCATTGAACACTCTCAGAATCCAATGCCATCACTATTTTCCTCTCTTGCCAGTACATGCTGACACAGTTTTTGTAATCAGGTATTTGTCAGAGAATTTATATTGTGGTGGTTTGAAAGAAAATGGCCTCCAAAAGGAGTGGCACTATTAGGAGGTGTGGCTATATTGGAGTAGGTGTGGCCTTGTTGGAGGAAATGTGTCACTGTGGAGGCAGGCTTTGAGCGTTCATATATGCTCAAGCCATGCCCAGTGAGATAGAATACTTCCTGATGCCTACAAGAGTGGGACACTTAGCTACTTCTCCACCGTATCTGCCAGAATGCCACCATGTCTCAGCATGATGATAATGGACTGAACCTCTGAACTATAAGTGAGCTACCCTAATTAAATGTTCCCTTTATAGTTGCTGTGGTCATGATATCTCTTCACAGCAATAGGAACCCAAACTAAGGGAAAAGTTGGTAGCAGGGACTGGAGTATTTCTAGAATAGGCCTAACTATAGTTTTGTGTGGAGGAATTTGGACTTTGGTACTTTGAGTTAGGAAAGCAGTGGAATGCTTTAAGCACTGCTTAATAGGCCATATTAGTAGGAGCTTGGAGGAGAGTGATGCTAAGAATTATTTGAGCTGTTGGGAGCTCACCCAAGTGGTTTCAAAGGGGAAGAATTTTAGTATGTTGCCTACAGATTGTTCTGGTGATATTTTGGTGAAGAGTTTGGCTACTTTTGCCCTTGTTCGAAAAGGAAAAGTCTGCCTGAGACTAAAGTGAAAACTTTTGGATTAATTCCGTTGGCAGAAGAAATCTCAAAACAGCCTAGTATAGACTCTGTCATGTGATCATTAATGTTAATTCTGATGAGGATTTATAATGAAAAAGATCAAGCTGAGCAAATGAAAATACAAAATGTATAGATTGAGAAAAGGGGCATCAAGAAGTGGAATAAAGCTAAATCCTGTGTTCAAGGAGATAAACAGATTAAGAAATGGAATAATGGGAGTGGTAACCTCAGAGCAAGATCCTACCCAGCTAAGTTTCCAACTTGTGGAAAGAAATTTAAAAAGCTTAGAGCCAGGTGTGGTGTTGCACACCTTTGATCTCATCACTGGGAAGACTGAGGCTGGGAGATCTCTTGAGTTTGAGACGAGCCTGATCTACAGAGCAAGTTCAAAGACAGCCAAGCTTAGGCAGTAAGGGTAAAAATCAAAAATAGAAATCTGGTGAGCTATAATTGAAAGAGGGGGTCATCTTCCAGCCCCAGCAAGCAGCAGAACTTGACAGCTATGGCCACATGGTTCTGGCTTTAGAGGTAAGGAAAGAAGAAACTGGTTATAGAATTTGCCTCTGCAGCCGAGAAAAGCTGCTGAGGTTTGGCATGTATCAGGAGTGTCCCTGAATTGAGGCCTAGACAGGCCATTTTGTGAAGCTGAGAAGTTGAAGCCTGGATTACCTTGGAGACCCCAAGATGTTAGAGATGGCAGAGTTGTGGGATACCTGCCAAGAAAAGCTGCTAACAGGGATTGGAACCAGCCCCCCAAAAAGAAGTGTGCTGCAGTCAAGTGTTTTGACATCAGACATGGAAATGCAGTTTGCAGGTACCCAGCTGGTTTTTAGCCTTTCTTTGGTCAAGCATTTCCTCACTATGCTCCCTTCCCTATTTTTTGGAATGGTAATGTATATCCTGTGCTATTATATGTTGGAAGTATGAGGTCTGCTTTTTTATTTTGATTTTAGAGGGGGATTACAGTTAGGTTGCCATGAGTCTCAGAAGAGACTTTGGACTTTAAAACAAGTATGAGACTGTTACTGATGACTATGGGGACTTTTGAAGCTAAACTGAATGCATATTTGCACTAGGGTATGGCTACAAGGCTTGGGGTCCAGGGAGTAGATTGTGGTGGTTTGAAAAAAAATGGCCAAAGGGAGTGATACTGTTAGGAGGTGTGGCTTTGTTGGAGAGTGAGTGTGACCTTGCTGGAGGAAATGTGTCACGGTGGAGGCAGGCTTTGAGGGTTCATATATGCTCAAGCCATGCCCAGTTAGACAGAACACTTCTTGTTGCCTGCAAGATGTAGAACTCTCAGCTACTTCTCCACAGACTGTCTGCCTACATGCCACCATCCAATCATGCTCCAATCACGATGACAGTGGACTGAACCTCTGAATTGTAAGCAAGCCACCCCAATTAAATGTTTCCTTTATAAGAGTTGTTGTGGTCATGATGTCTCTTCACAGCAATAGAAACCTTAACTAAGACATATACCTAGCATATTTTTTAAGGATTCTCAAATATCAATAAGAAACTAAAAAATCTTGTTTTTAAAAGGACAATTATTTGAACATATACTTCAGCAGAAAAATAAAAACATGAGTCTATAGTGTGGATCCTGAATTCCACTGTTCCCCAAAAACCTATTTGTTAAAAGTTGATAATGTTGTTGGGAACTAAATAAAAAAAAAAACCTTTGAATGCTGGGTGTGGTGGGATGCCTTTAATCCCAGTACTCAGAAGGCAAAGACAGGTGGACTTCTATGAGTTCTGGGCAAGCCTGGGCTACACAGTGAGATCCCATATCAAAAAAAGAAAATAAAATAAAAGGAGAAGGAGGAGGAGGAAGAAGAGGAGGAGGAAGTAGTTTGAGGGATGGTGCCTAGCAGGATGTTCTTAGGTCTTGGAGCATATGCCCTTAAAATGGGAGTTTTGAAGCTGGAAACATGGCTCAGTGGTTAAAAGCACTTGTTGCTTATTCACAGGACCTTGGTTCCATTGCCTGCACCCACATAGTGGCTCACAACTGTCCAGTTCCAAGTTGTTTGATGACATCTTTTGATCTCCATGGGCACCAGGCCTGCAAATGATGCAAATACATACATGCATGCAAAACACTCATACAATTAAATTTTAAAAATAAGAAATTATTTTGGAATATTGGTCCTTTCTTCACTTTACCTGGACATAGAGTAAATGGGTGGCTCCATCACATACTCCTCCCTACCATTGCCATCCATCACCTCTACTACCAGAGATCTAAAAGCAATGGTTCTGCCAAGTCATGGGATGAAGCTGCTAAAACACTGACCCAAAATAAACATTTTCTCTTTTCAAAATAATTATCTCAGATATTTTGTTACAGTGATTAAAAAGTAACACAACATGGCAAATAATGACATGAAAAGCAAACTATAGACAACAAATCAGGGCACAGAAGGATGGCTCAATGGGAAAAAGTTCCTGCCACCAATCCGGATGACCGGATCTCTGGGCCTCACATGGTGGAGGGGGTGAACTGACGCCTGCAAGTTGTCCACTGACTTCCACATGAGTGCAGTAGCACATAGAGTCCATACACAATAAAAAAATAAATGTAATAAGTTGTAGAAATCTTCCCCTAGATCTTTTTGTAAGCCCTATTTAAGCTTTAACAACAAAATTGAGCCAGTGTGATAATGCATGCCCAGGCGATGTTGAGGTCAGAGATCATCATGAGTTCAAAGCCATCTTGGGGTACATA